CACATTCCCCAGGCAAGTCGGAGATTAGGTAAGCTTCTCCATGAGTCCCTACCACCCTGCCCCCAACCCCCAGTAGCACTGAACAATTAGCATCATCCCCAGGCGGCTCCAAGGCCAAGGTCACTGATACTCTCCGGAGGCAAATGGTTGGATGATTAGTCTGGTCTTTCTCTTTTCTTCAATTTTAACAAAAACAGATTACACTTATTGAACACCTACTTGTAGGCAGAATAGCACTATAGTTAGGAAGCGGACTCCAGAGCCAGAGCTTACGATCTTGGACAACTCGCTTACCCTCTCTGTGTCTCAGTTTCCTTTCCTGCAAAATGGAACTAACGACAGCACCCAACTCACGGAGTTGTCATGGGAAGTAGATGCACTGATATTTAGAAGACAGCCTCGTCCACCCTAAGCACCGAGCACATGTTTGTTGTCCACCGTCATCACCTCCAATCACTGTCATTACCATCCTCCCCCTTCCCTTTGATGTCAGACCCCGGTCAAGAGCTTAAGGAATCAGAATTCAAGCTTGAGTTTGCTTGACCACAGATGCCCATGCTCCAAACCGATGTCTTTCCGACTTTGACTGTGAGCCACATAAGAAATACACCTTACTCTGTGATGCACTCTGATGTCTCTTAATAGGTTTCATTGCTTGGAAGTGCTGCTCATGAACAAATAACGGATTATGGGAACCCCCCCTGCACCGCGCCCCCCTCCCCAGTTCCTGTGTTAAAATCGTGGCTCTTTACAACCTGCAGGTCAGCCCAGAATGAAAAAGGGTCAGCCCATGGTAAAGAGAAATAACCCAGGATATCAAGACTCAAGTCTTACTGGTGACACAGAACACTGTTCTGTGACCTCTCTGTGGCTACGTTTACTCCTCTTTCATTCATCCCATCAAAAGTGTTCTAAGTGAGGCCTCCCAGACCCCAGGATCCCATCAGGTGCTGCATAACAGTGTTGATCAGTCTTATAAAGCCCAGACAATACTTACAGACACTGTCTACTAAGCTCTTCCTATGTGTCAGGTACAGGTTTTAAAACCCTCAAAATAAGGCACAATTATTATCCCTGTTTTACAGGTGGGGAAACTGAGGCACAAAATGAAAAAACTTGTCTACGGTCATACAGGCTCTCTGCTCCTTAAACCCATGTCATTATTTTTGTTTCTCAAATCAGGAGAGAAAGCATTTGGACAAATGTAAAGCATTCATATACAACTGTAGAGCATGAATATAAAAATAATGTATGTTATTTCTGGATTTTTTTTAAATCAAAGAAAAGTTTTAATTTAAACTTGACCATGAAATGTCTGAGGTGGCTTTTTAAAAGATTATTATTTAGAGAGAGAGAGAGAGAGCGCACGTGAGTCAGGGAAGGGCAGAGAGAAGGAGAGAGAGAATCTCAAATGGGCTCTCCGATGACAGTGGGGCTTGATCCCACAAATAGTGAGATCATGATCATGACCTGAGCTGAAATCAAGAGTCAGATGCTTAACTAACCAAGCCATTCAGGTGCCCCACCAGTCTGAGGTTTTAATTTTCCAGTAGGCTCTCCCATTTGGTACTGTGAACTAGGGCTGACAGGAAGGTGGCTTCTGTCCTTGTTGCCACAAGAGGAAAGGGGGTTTTATACTTTTTCAATGGACTGAGTGATGGGAACAGCAGTGGAAGACTGAAACGGTCTAGAAATGTCACTTTTCCATCTGAGGAGACGGAGGTTTGACCCCACACATCCTACAGTAAGTACAGCTAGCGTACAAGACAGGATGGCAGAGGCATATGCGGAGCAGAGACCAGAGTGGTGGGGCGGTAAGGAAGCTATACACCCCAACCAGGCCAGGAAGGGCGTGATCGACGGTGCTGCTCAGAGCTGTCCAAATAGCCCTTGAATTCGCCACTACCTGGATGACAGCGATGAGCAACTGGAGAAATGAACATGGCCTGGTGGAGGAAAGTTCCGCAACAAGTCTGGGTGTGCCCATATGTTAGCATATTATGTAGTCATTAAAAAAATCACCCGTGCAGATGTTCCACTTAATGGTGTCAAAGAAGAGCAAATTAAAGCATCAATGATATACCTTTCTTTTTTCCTATCTGATGCAAGTGTGATAATGCAGTGGACATGAAAGCAGCTTTCATCATAGTGTAGCTGATAAAAAAAAGGTCAAACCTCTCCGAGCTGAAAATAGTTTTCTGGTGATGGTGATCAGGCTCCCTGGTCGATGAGAGCCATCCTCCTTCCCCTGGCCCCTGCGTTATCCAGGTCACATGTGTTTCCCAGAGCCCCCAGTGAGTCTGTCTCTCTCGCCTGCACCCTGAAGCTGAGGCAGCTTTGCTGACCATTCAAAGCACCCATGCTCAAGCTAGTGGTCATGCTTCTGGTCCCATTGGGAGCCTACAGCTCTTCCTCCTGTGTTAAAGCTTACTAAGGAAGTTTCCCTCATGTAGATGCTCTGGAAAACAGTGTGGAGGTTCCTCAAAAAATTAAAAATAGATCTACCCTATGACCCAGCAATAGCGCTACTAGGAATTTACCCAAGGGATACAGGAGTGCTGATGCATAGGGGCATTTGTACCCCAATGTTTACAGCAGCACTTTCAAGAGCCAAATTATGGAAAGAGCCTAAATGTCCAACGATTGATGAATGGATAAAGAAGATGTGGTTATATATACAATGGAATACTACTTGGTAACGAGAAAGAATGAAATCGGGCCATTTGCAGCAACGTGGACGTAACTGGAGGGTATTATGTCCAGTGAAGTAAGTCAGTCAGAGAAGGACAGATATTGTATGTTTTCACTCATATGTGGATCTTGAGAAACTTAACAGAAGACTATGGGGGAGGGGGACAAAAATTACAAATGGAAAGGGAGGGAGGCAAACCATAAGAGACTCTTAAATACAGAGCACAAACTAAGGGTTGTCGGGGTGTGGGGGAGAGGGGAAAGTAGGTGATGGGCACTGAGGAGGGCACTTGTTGGGATGAGCACTGAGTATTATATGGAAGCCAGTTTGACAATAAATTATATTTAAAAAAAAGGAAGTTTCCCTCAGATATTTGTTGATCACCTTAGGTTTTATGCGTAAGTATATAATGATACCTTATCCTGCTAATGGTGGTTTGTTATCCACAACAGAACACGAGCCTCACCTTTCCTGGTGCACAAGTGGCATGCACATCCAGGCCCCCAAAGACATGCAATCTGGGCCACTCCAACAGATTAAAGGGGAAAGGAGAAGCAGGAGATAAATAGGTCTATCATTTCCAGTAAGCATTTACCCAGAATATGAAAACAGACTCGGGCACAGAGCATCTGTACAACAAAATCAAAATCCTCTCTCTCTCTCTCTCTCTCTCTCTCTCTTTCAGGTGGGCTGTGCTTGGTTTGGGGTCCTGGGCTCAAGCATGAACTGCAGAGACATTGGTGTAGGTATAAAAAAGAACAACCTAAATGGGCACAGTTCTCAGAAATTTACCCCGGGAGAAGAGGTTTATGGGGCTTTAGAAAGAAGACACAAAGGACATTTCCTCCAGAATCATCCTAGGTAAGGAGAAACATGAGTTGATTGCAGGGCTGTAGACAAGGCTCACACTGCAACAAAGGGATGTCAGTTGGACCAGAGGCAGGATCTGACAGGCTGGTAATTGCAACAACACCCCATGGCAAGCTTTTGTTTAGCATCTGGGTGCAAGGACCCCCATCTTTGCTGCACCACTCAGGGGAGGATACTATGAGAATACTGAGGCACTGATACAGTCTTTAAGGACTCTTGGACGCAAAGGCTCTCTCTAAGGCATACCAATGTGGTCAAGAGCTTTGGGGCCAGACTGCCTGGGCTGGAATCCATATTGTGAGCCCGTGGACCAATCAGTTCTCTGTCTCAGTTTCCTCACCTGCAAAATGAGGATAGCAATAACACCTACTTCAAAGGACCATTGTGTAGAATAAACCAGGTCATCCACATATAGCACTTATAGGAGAGCTGGCTTGTAGGAGGAATTCAAATATATGTCAGTTACTATTATTTATATTAGTTTTTTTCCTCTTTATAGGAATAATCATGTTCCCTGTGGAGAGTTTGGGAATGACTAACAGGTAACAGAAGTAAGAAAAATATCCTCACTTCCTTCAACCTTCTCTGGGAATTCATAACCAAAGAATAAATACCATTTTAAAAGCTATTTTTTCCTTCCCAGAGGTGATCAACACCAGGGATTCAGGCTGGGCTACGGATGGCTCAGCCTCGCTTCTTGGCTCACAGGGCCCTGAAGGTCTGTTCTACTCACTGTGTTGTTGATGTGATGCCTAAGTCACCTGGAGCCTGGGCCAGCGGTTCTGCTCATCCTCCTCTAAATGGTTTCTAATTTCTTTCTCTTTAAAAAATTTTAAATTTAGCCAGTCTATTTTGCACGTGTTTTAATAGTTTATGTGACCTCACATCTTTTTTTGGAAGGACACAGGGTCTATGTTATAAATACCGTTATTTTATTCAACTAGAGCCGAGCTGCCAAGAGAAGTAGGATGCACTTTCCAAAACTTTCTCTGCAGCTGGGCAGACTCAAGCTGCTTCTTCCTCAGTTGGCCCTGCTTGCAAGGTGCTTTCCCAGATCTTGACCAAAAGCCTGCCCTCTGCTACTCACACGTAAACCCCAGTGGTGGACATATGGGCAGGGTGGATCCTGTGTAGACGTCACAAAGATGCTTTGTATGGGTTCCAGCATTCTCCAGTCAATGAAGTGCAAATCCCTAGGAGACAAATGGTGACCTGGGTTTCCCCAGACATGCTGGTGATGAAGGAATTGACACTTTGAGTATGCCATGTTCCTCAAAGAGACAAGGCAAGGGACCCGAATCAGAGAGACGAGAGACCACTGTGAGCAGAGTAAGAACACTGAACGTGTAGGAGATGTGGGAATTCTGAAGGTGGACCCCCCCCGCCCCCCCTTGCCCAGTCCTATGAGTCAGATGGAGGTGAAGAACATGCTCAGGAGTCTGGGAATCTGGGAAAAAGATGATAGGGCAGGGAAACCACTATTAATAAGAGGAGATATTAGCTCATTGAAAATTAACTGGAGCATAGGTGATAGATAAAGTGAGCCAAGTAATAAATCGCTTCCACACAAAGGAGAAGTGAGAGCATCATCAGCTCTGTGCTTAGGAGCAGAGGACCTGCTCCCTGGATGGGAGGACTCTGAAGTAAGAGCAAGCATACTCCAGTTTGCCTCCCACATTAATCAAAATGGATGAGAGGAAATTGATGGAGAAGCATGTTGACAACAAGGTTCCAGCCTTCTGGGAAAGGAAACAAAAAGGTCCAGGGAGGTCAAAATAAAGCAACCGATAAAGTAAAGATGGAAGAGGAAGGAAAACAATGGAATGCACCCTTCAGACACTCACGAGACAATTTAGCAGCTGTAAGTCCACGGGACCTTCATTAACGAGAAGGTTCCCTGAGGATTAATGATGATGAGAATGGTATGAAGAATAGCCACCACTCACGGGCCTCACCATGTCTGCACAGCGGTATAAATACCTTTTCGTCACTTGGCGTATTTACACATTTAAGATTCACAACTGATGTAGGTACTATTATCATCATACTCATTTTACCGGGAAAAAAGAACCAAACAACAAAATGGAGGCACGGAGAGGATAATTGCATGCTTGGGACCAACAGCCAGCAAATAACTAACGTGGGATCTGAACCCAGGTAGGCTAATGCCTGGAGGGGTGCCCCTCACAGCTGCGCTAGCCTGCTTCTTGGGAAGAGCAGGTTGAAAAGGGAGGGCACGGGCAGCAGGCACAGTACAATGTAAAGACCCCAATGACCACGTTTAAAAGAACAAGGAGATGTAAACCGTATCAGGTCATCGAGCTGACTTGACATTAGGCCACCAGCCCCTGGGAAAAGAGGGCAGGTTAGGAAGTAGCTTTTAACCAACCAGCCATTATTTTGTTTTAACTTGAGCTTAAAGAGTCTTAGTACAGATGAAGAAGGAGATCGGCTGAATTTCTAAAACAGATACACTTCTTACAATTTATAGGCAAGGAAGAGAATCCAAGATTTATGCTAGCTGAGATGTCCAGGGAGTAGAGGACTTGATGAGAAGAAAAATGACAGCCAGAGAACAGTGATGCTGGCCATGTTTCTGGAAGGCCCGGGAACCCAGCTGGGGAGTCCAGGTGATTCCCCTCAACAACCCTTTGGGAAATAGGACAGACTGAGGGACAGAAACATTTGTGTCTCAATGGTGAGACTGCAGAAAGAACCCTGGACAAATCAGGGAGGGTGAGGGCAGAGAACCACGGCCCCGCACGGAGATACCACAGAGAAAGGAAAGAACAAGGATCAAGGCAGGAACTCATGGGAAGTGACAATTTAATTAAGGACAGTCTGCCTACATTCATGCAAAGGCAGCCATGTCGAACAAATCTGATTTATTGAGGAAGTAACAAGAAGACAGACGGGGTTAAGTCTTGGGCATAAGGAAAGCTTTTGATACAGTGCCGAAGGCTGAATCCGCGCGGGAAAGAAGCGTGTGTGCTGCTGGCAGTGTGGCCAGGATGGGGAAGGCTGAGACGGCCCAGGAAATGCACTGCCAGCCGTGCAAATGGGAGGTGGGCCTGCTAAGCCCTAGGCTGCTCTTTAAAAAAAAGGGCTGGCCCATGGTGTCCCTACAAGTGCACTGTGGCCCTGACTTTGTGGTGGGCAGAGCCTTCTGCTGTCTGGCCAGGCTCCCCTGAGGGCAGCAACGCCCCATAAATGGCACTGAGGAAGGGTCTGGATTAATCCACAGCAGAAGGGACCAGACAGGAGCTGGTTTTGGCCAAATGCACAAAGCAGGCCTATCTGCAGTTTTTCCAACCAGCAGGAGAGTTATAAACCCCAAATGCCATCAAAAGGGCCCATTGTCTCCATGTCCCTGCGGTGGCCACCTCCTAGGATGGCCTCCAGGTACAGAAGTGGGTACAGTGGAGCTCCCTCCTCATCAGTCACTTACCACATCATCCCGGTCTTCCCACTCTACCTCCGAGAGGTCAACGCTACTGTAGTTAGGTTTCCTTCGCTTTTTTCCTTCCTCGTACTGGCAGGGAGAAAAGGAAAAGAAAACAAAATATTTCCATGAGATCAGCAGCCAGGTCAGCCTTTATCTCCCCAAGCCCCGTTTCTCTGACAGGAACCATGAGTAGAGAGATATTGGCGAGAAGCCCGGCAGGGCACAGTCCTAGGGGTTTTAATAGCAGGGAAGCCGAGGCCAGTTGCTCTGAGCTGGGGAATAACAAGTCAACTCTACTTGATACGAATTTACCTACTGGACTCATTGGCTCCAAACATGCCAGAAACCAAGCAAAATTTCCCCTCTGCCTGGATGGTATGTGTGTGGAATGGGGGAGATCCTTCTCTACTCCTAAGTTTCAAAGACCACCCCTTCATGACATAGGAAAGGGCTTTGTAGACAGTTTACCAAACATCTAGTCATAACCCTTTGTTTTATAGTTCTCCCACCCCTACCTCCTGTCCCAAAGCTACCCCCTAATTCCTTGGCTAGGAAACAAAAGTACTGATCTCCACAGTTGGGCTCAACATCCTGGTACCATTTTGTAGACACACAGAACCTTCTACTTGCTATCATGCTGTCTATAGCAGTACTGAGCTAAGCGCAGCTCCTTTACCTGGAGTAGATGTGGGTACTGGGAATCCCTGTCAGATTTAACGGCCATTAGGGCATTTCTCTGGAAAAGCTGATGAGTACATTAATAACTGGGGAAGTGGTTTTCATTTTTTCTCCCTAGATCACTGGTGTTAGTCACCCTGCAAGCCTACCATTTTACCAACTGGATCTTCCTGTGTCTGGATGGTCCTGTGCCTCAGGGCCTTTAATGCTGGTTGTTGGGATGTTTATAATGTAGGAAAGTCTGCCCTCTACTGCAGGCTAAAGATAAGCAGCCCCTTTACAAGTTCATAAGATGTGGCTGATGGCATACTAGAAAAAAATATGTATGTATGTATAGCCTTTTTCTTTTTTGATTTTATCTCTAAACTGGTCATCTTTGGATTGAATTGGTAAGATTTTAAATGAGATGCAGTGTCACTATAAGTGTGTTAAGACCATAAAACCACAGGTTACCATTTTGGACACTGCTTGGCTACTGCTGAGAGAAGGTGCTGAAGGCACATGGGTGTGAAGGAGAGACTCACTGCCAGTGTGTTGAACCAAACAGGTCTAAATGGGCCCCCAGTGGAACCCAGGGAACAGAGGCCAGACAGGGTAGTCACTGTAGAGCCAAATAGGGCCCAGTGGCTTTCCTCCTCTCTTGTTTTCCCTGTCAAGTGTATTTCAGGAGTGCTGAGACCTCTCTGGAAAGTGCCCACTGCACCACTCAGGAAGGCTGCATTGGCTCCAAGGGGCAGTGGGCTCAGATCACCCAGGTCAACCACCCTTCCTCTCCCGGCTCTCAGGCTTTCCAATGAACAGCTGTTCATGGCCAGTTTACGACATCGGATCCACTGCAGATGAAGAGGGAGGGAAGTGGTTCCCTGCAAAGCTGCTGTAAATGACAGCAGATTCATGGCTGGATCCTGTTACGGAAAGTTCGTGTGCTCACAGAAGCTCTGGCCCTGGCAAGTGCCAGGCTGGGGCCAAGTGGGAGGAACAGGGACGAGGTCCATGGGGTTGTCACCCATAGCTTTCAGTGAGGAGGTGTGATGGGGAAGGGGGCACATGATGCTAAGTAAGACTCCACATGTCCCTTCGAGCAGCAAGAGTCAGACACTCTTGGGCCTCTTTTAACTGTCTAACGGCCCCCATGTTCCATTTCAGTAAGAACCCTACTCCTAAGAGCCAGGAGGAACGCCAGAAGCTCATGCAGCCCAGCCTCTGGCCACTAACGGCAAAGCCTTTACAGTTTCTTGGGCCATGTAACACTAGGTCTACACCACATTTTTGTGAGAAGCACTTCCTTTGGTCATTACAAAATTCTCCTTTATTTATTTACTCAAATACATTTATTGGACCCCTAGTAAGGACCAGGTACTAAGGATATAAATAAAGCCAGCTAAATAGCCTTTCTTTCTTTTCCAAGGACTCGCTTGCAGTTCATCACTCTTAATTCTGCTCCACCCCCACCCCGAAGGTCAATGTATTGCCCACCATGCGTATTGGAAAAGAGCCCATCATAAGTTCAATAACAAATTCCATGACACATTAGATGACATGATATAACCAGAGTGTGCAGGACATCCCCACTCACCACCAGCCCCCGACCAAATTTTCGTGTCTGAGCATCATATTATTTCAGCCACTCCTAAAGAAACTCAGGAAGACTGCCGAGGTCCTAAGCACCAAAAGTATCCACTTGTCTTTTGTTAGACAAAGTGTTTCTGCCATTTACTGGGCACACGATCTTGCACAAGGGGCCCAGTGGCTTCCTGTTCCCCTTTTCTCACTTGCAAAATAAGAGAAACAATAGTACCTCTGTGGCAACGGTAGATTGAGAGAATGAACTAGATAGTGTGTATAAATTGACAAACACATTTCTGGCACAGAATAAATCCTTAATATGCTAGCATGATTCCTGAGACCCATCATCTTGGCCAACAAGATCATGGGTCTCGTTGTATACAGTTGGCTTCTACGTCATTTCCTTGAAATGAAGGAGACCCAGTCAGTGATTCTGCTCTGCAAACCATAGGCAGGAAGGAGGTGTTTGTTGAAGATGGTTGTATCAGAGAGTTACAGTCATGCACCTCCTCCTGGTGTGTATCTTAAGCACCAAGACTTGCATACTATATACCCCAGCTGGGACTTGAGACTCTCACAGCAGAAAAATCCATACCTGTGCTAAAGAACCCAAGTCCTTTTAGATGGTATTTGGCAATTTTCTAATGCTTAGAGAAGCCTGGCCTTCTGACCACTCCCAGCTGTCAAACACTCAAGAAATTCAGTACATTGCACTTTTGATATTCAGAGAACCTGGAGAGTTTAGAGCGTGAGGTGAAGAAGCACTCCCAGTGTATTGGTCCACAAGCCAGTGAGTCTAAATAAGTTAGTTTCATTGAAGGAAACAGGCAGGACTGGGGATACTTGCTCTGGAACTCCATTTTAGGAATGACTCTCTCCTCTCTCAAAAATCAATAAACACTAAAAAAGAAAAAAAGAAGGAAAAAATAAAAGAAAAAAAAAAGAAGGAAAAAAAAGAAAAAAAAAGGAATGCCCCACCACAATGTCTGCTTAACCAGGTATGTGAAACCAGTCTGAAAGACTTCCCATTTGGGTCTTTGTTAATGGTCTCCCATTAGAGATCAAGCAGTAATGTAGCAGAGTGATTACTCTGAGCGAGAGAAGGAAAAGTCAGTGGCTGTTGCATAAGACAAAACAGATTGAGGGTGGTAAGTAAACTCAAGCATAATGACCCTAGATCCACCTTTATTTTTTCTCCCATTTAGAAAGCACATTGGAAGGCTAGAGATTAGACTTCTACGAGGAAGACACCTGTGCTGTGCACTGCCCCCACCCATCCCTCACATTTTCCAGGGCAATCACCTTGCTTTCTTCCAGGGGAAGACCTTGGGCCCTATGCTCCATAAATATAGTTATTGGGAAAGCAAGACCATCCTGGTTCAGAGGTGGGCAAGTGACCTGAGCATGTAAGGAGACCCACATCTCTCCAGGACACAGAGATTGGTTCAGAGCTGGGTATATAACTCATGCCAACCCAGATTAGGCCCAATCTGGGATGCTTTCTTGGATTTATCCGGATAAAAGAGCTGTGCATCCACTAGCATCATTAAGGTGGTAGGACGTGAACTTGAGCTCCTCATAAACATCTCTGCTTCTGCTTGGAGAGAGCCTTCCTGAGAATGAAGCCAGTGCAGAGAAAGCAGAGAAGAGACAGGAAGAGAGTCCTGAAAACATGGCGTGTGTGCCTGGATCAAGCTGTGACTGAAATCTTTATGCCCTGAGATGTTTCAGGTACCAACACATTCTCTCCACATTACCCCCTTCCCTTTCTAAAGATGTTGTTTTAAAGCTGGTTTGGGTTTCAAACGTAAGTAGTCACTGGAGTTGTGATTTGTATATATTTAATGCCTTTATTATTTTCCTTGTAAATGAACCACTTTTAAAGTACATTTTAAGTGAAGTGTTCCTAACGGTTCTTTAGGAACATGTGGTTTGCAAAATACCTCACTGTTAATCAAGACAGACTACTGTGTTTGAGCACGGCTGATCCCCTACTTTCTCCCCAAGAGGACACATGGGAGGCCACAGTGTAAGAGTGACAGAACGAGAAGTAAATCTGACTCCCAGGCCAGCTCTCCCCTATCCCATGGGATTCAGCCTGTGACACATCCCGGATCCACCAGCCCCACTCCCTGCTTCCCTGCGTGAGGATCTCGTTACTGGGGCTGAGGCATCGGATATGGCATTTGTTAGTGTATCTATAAACTGTAACTTCCTTTGAAAATGTGATTAACGAATTGCGAACGGTTTCCAAAGGTTTATAAACAGATACTTTGAGAGCCACGGGTAGGTTTGTAGTTTTTGGTGCCTGTTTTATGAAAAAAATATGTGGGGGAGAATTTAATAAGGAAAGATATTCTGTGCTATGAAATACTTTGAGGTGGAGTTTCAAATAAAGGCCAGATGTGGTGAACACACAAACCAGCCCGTGGCCTAGGAGGATGGGACAAGATGGGCACCCATCTGAGGGGCAAGCTGGAGCCATACAGGAGCTGCCTTATGTGCCTGAACCTGCCAGGTGGGGGTTAACTGGGTGCTCCTGAGTGTTCTCATGGGTTATCTAGAGATGGACCTTGGAAGCATAATGGGACGGGCTGAGGTGATGGCCATGTTCATGTGAGTTTGAAAAAAAAAATGCCTTTGCTTTTTTTTCTGTGTGTGTGTGTTGGGGTGGGGGGGACGGGGAAGGGCCAGAGGAGATCAGCTACACACATCCACACAGCCTCTGCGAAACAAATATTGTGTATGCTAATAATTGATAAATTGTACGTGCTGCTCCACACTGCCAACAGGAAGGAAGGAGATGGGGTGGGAGGCCCACAACTGGAGAGGAAGAAACCTTG